TTGTCGTTATCATCGGGTTGATAATCATGACACGGAGGAGTGTTTTACCTTGAAACGAGAGATTGAAAGACTGATCCAAAGGGGTCATTTGAATAACTTCATCAAGGGGGCTACACAGCAGCCCAACCACGTATGGAGGAAATCTTCAGAACAAGTGGCGTGCACGCAACAGGAGACACGAAGGGCAGAGAAAAGACACATTGGAAATGAGAGTGACGAGGAGGGCTCGGATGTGCCAGGGCCGAAGCGGGACAAGAGGCACCATGACATCAATTTCATTTATGGAGGTAATGCAGGCGGGGACTCTTCGTCCCTTCGAAAGAAATGGGCTCGTCAATTGTACATTGGTGAGATCATGCACTCTCCAATGAAAAAGAAGGTACGACGTGAACCTATATGTTTTACTGATGATGACCTACCACCATGTCCAAGCCCACATCGGGATACCATGGTTATCAAAATGGAGATCAATGATCTTGTCATACACCGTACCCTGGTCGACACGGGAAGTTCCGTGAACATAATGTACCTCGACACTTTCGAGAAACTGAAGCTGTCCAAAGGAAAACTCCATCCGATAAAAACCCCATTGTACGGGTTCACAGGTGACTCTATCGAGGCAGAAGGAGTCGTCACAGTCCCGGTGGAGGTAGGGGACACATCCCATAAAGTGAAACTTAACATGGAGTTCGTAGTCGTCCGATTGACATGTGCACATAATCTTATACTCGGACGACCAGGGATGGAAGATTTGCAGTGCATTGTGTCCCCGATACATCTCTGTATTAAGTTCCCAACACCAACCGGAGTGGGGATAGCACGCGGGAGCCAGAAGCTCGCCCGAACATGCTACATAAAAATCACAAAAAAGGTGGGGCGGCATGGCCACCAGGTGAACACTGTCGCCACACAATACCTACAAGATGAAGAGCGAAGACCCCGTGCAGAACCAGCAGAAGGGACAGAAGAGGTCACCCTTGACCCTGCAATCCCAGAGCGCAAGGTTAAGATAGGCACCGGGTTGTCGGCTGAGCTCCGTGCTGAGATCATAGCCGTCTTGACTATGTACCAAGGTGTATTTGCAAGAGGGCCAGAGGACATGCCAGGCATCAATAGAGATGTCATCTCTCATCGCCTAGACGTAGACGCTGCGTCAAAACCTGTGAAACAAAAGAAACGTTACATGTCCTCGGACAAGCGGGAGTTCGTGAGGAAAGAAGTGGGCACCTTGTTAAAGATCGGCCACATCAAGGAGGTAAAATACCCAGAATGGTTGGCAAACGTGGTATTGACACCTAAACCCCCAACATGGAGGATGTGTGTTGATTACACTGACCTGAACAGAGCATGCCCGATGGATCCATTCCCATTGCCTAACATCGACCAATTGGTAGACGAGACAGCAGGGTGCGAGTTGATGAGTTTCATGGATGCTTTCAGTGGATACCAACAAATTCGCATGCATGAGGATGATGCGGAGAAAACCTCATTCATGACTCCAGAGGGTGTTTTCTGTTACTTAGTCATGGCGTTTGGACTGAAAAACTCTGGGGCAACGTACACTCGCATGATCTCTAAACTTTTTTGACCTGTCCTAGGCTGCACCATGGAGGCCTACGTGGATGATATGATTGTGAAGAGTAAAAGAGCAGGTACGCATGCCGTGGATTTGGCAGAGGTGTTCAAAATCATGGAGAAGTTCAATCTTCGTCTCAATCCAAAGAAGTGCACGTTCGCCGTGCAGGGAGGGAAGTTCCTGGGTTACTTGGTAAGCAGAAGAGGAATCGAGCCAAATCCGGAGAAAGTCAAGGCCATTCTCGAAATGGAACCTCCTCGTAATGTCAAAGAAGTGCAGCGATTGACGGGACGCTTAGCGGCTTTGAACTGCTTCTTATCAAAACTAGCAGTGAAAGCCACACCATTCTTCCACATCATGAAGAAATCAATGGGTTTCGTATGGACTGAGGAGTGCCAAAAGTCATTCGAGGGATTGAAAAACTACCTCTTGTCTCCTCCTGTCTTGTCCAAACCTGAGGTGGGGGAGACATTATACCTATACCTAGGGGTTTCACCAAGTGCAATTAGTTCTGTCCTGGTGCGTGAAGATGATGGCGTCCAGAGACCCGTTTACTACGTAAGCAAAACTTTGAGGGACGCTGAGCTACGGTACACAACCATAGAAAAAACTGTTCTATCCGTGGTGTGGACGGTCAAACGGCTCACACAATACTTCCAAGCTCACCCTGTCCATGTACTGTCACACCAACCCCTGGGTGCCTTAATGAGAAGTCCCACGGCTTCCTCGAGGATGGTCAAATGGGCAGTGTATCTAAGTCAATTTCATATAGAGGTGAAGCCAAGACCTTCCATCAAGGGGCAAGCTCTTGCAGATTTCATAGTAGAATGCACAGTGCGGGAGGAAACAACGAAGATGAAGCATGGCGACGATGAACGAGAGTGGTGGATATTGTCCACGGATGGCTCCTCCGCGGCCAAATCTTGCGGGGGAGGGGTGGTCCTCACCACGCCCGAAGGCTTCAGGGCCTATTACGCTATCCGGTTCAACTTCAAGGTGTCGAATAATGAAGCAGAGTACGAGGCTCTACTATGTGGTCTACGCTTGGCGGCGAACATGAGGGCGGAGAAGGTCAAGATACGGTGTGATTCAAAACTAGTGGTTGGACAGATCACGACTGAGTTTGAGGCGAAGGAAGAACGGATGCAGCTATATCGTGACGCTGCCCTAGAACTTCTGAAATTGTTCATCGCCTATGAAATTGAACAGATACCAAGAGCGCAAAATGTCGAAGCAGACATGTTATCCAAATTAAGTGCAGAGACACCGGAAAGGATTTCAAAGATTGCAAGGATAGAAGAGTTGGACACTTCCAGCATATATGCATGCCCTGTCCAGGCCATAACCACGAGGGACGCAGACTGGATTGACTGCCTCATCAAGTATATCAACGAGGGAGTGCTGCCCGCGGAGGAGGTTGAGGCCAAGGTGACTAAGATGAGGGCGCCGAGTTATACCATTTTGAATGAGAAACTGTACAAGAGGTCTTACAATGGCACGCTTCTCAAGTGCTTACGACCAGATGAGGCCAAGGTCGCCATGGAAGAGATACATGCAGGGATATGCTCAGCTCACCAAGGAGCACACACCATGTCCCGAAAGGTAATCCTACAAGGTTTCTTCTGGCCAACCATAGTTAAGGATTGCGCTGAATTTGTCAAGAGGTGTGTGGTGTGTCAAGAGTTCCAGAAATCTCCGGGACGTCCAGCCACCAACTACACCCCCATCAGCACGGCTATACCTTTCGCAAGGTGGGGAATAGATCTCATTGGTGCCTTACCAAGGGGAACAGGGAGCGTGAGATGGGTTATCGTTGCCATAGACTATTTTACTAAATGGATAGAAGCAGTGCCCCTAGCAAGCATCACTGAAGGGCAATGCAGAAAATTTGTCATGAAGCACATCCTTTGTCACTTTGGAGTACCCCAACAGATCATAACCGATAATGGGAGGCAATTCGGAGCATCCAGGTTTAACGAATTCTGTGAGAGTTGGGGGATCAAACACAGCAATGCATCAGTTGCCTATCCCCAAGCGAATGGCCAAGTGGAGAATGCAAACCGCACGATCATGGACGTGCCGGAGATACTCTGGCCACAGATACTGCCGGAGGGGAGTGGGCTGAAGAACTACCACAGATACTCTGGGCATACAGGACCACACCAAGAAAGGCCACAGGGGAGACACCATTCTCCTTGACATATGGTTTCGAGGCGAGGGCACCTGCGGAAGTAATTCTCCATAGCCGCCGAGAAGAGGAATATGACCCCGAGACGAACGAGGAGGTCATGGCGACCGAGCTTCTTTTTATTGAAGAAAGAAAAGAAGCGGCTTTCTGCCGTGCGGAGAACTATAGAAGGCAGGTGAAGGGATACCATGATTCTCGAGTTCGCAAACGCAACTTTGAAGTTGGGGACTATGTCTTGAGAAAAAGGGAGGTCAGCAAACCCTTGGAAGGGGGGAAATTTGCCAAAAATTATGAAGGCCCTTACGTGATTAAATCAGTGATCCGTCAAGAAACGTTCAAACTCCAGACGCCGAAGGGAAAAGAAATTGAGAGGACTTAGAACGCAGAACACTTGCTCAAGTTTTACCATTGAAAATTTATCATTGATACTCCAACCTGATGATTATGATGTATGGTGTATGGTGGTAAACACGGTCCTTTTCCATCCACTGTTTTCAAATAAGAGATCTCCTTGATCCACACAAGAGTGAATAATGGCAGTCCCTGGCCCAAAAAAAAAACATGGTGTCGTCCAAGGACACCGTGGGTGTCAAACTCACCCAAAACAAAAACAAATTACAAGGTGTCATCCAAGGACACCGTGGGTGTAAAACTCACCCAAAACAAAAAAAAAAATGAAATAAAAAACTAGTAAGCAGCCAGGCATGTCTCCTATGACATAGCTGAAATTCTCAACACGCAGGGGGTATAGACTCGCCCCTAGAAAGGGGACGAGGATACATCGCAAATCGATCCCAACAAATGCGTAACCCTCAGGGTTGTATGGTCAGGATGCATCTATGAAATTTATCTGTTAGCGGCCATGTTTCCCAAAAAACGTTGTGTGCCCCAGAGCAAGCCTAGGTCACTCAAGTGTTAGGTTCGCTCACTTAGTCCTACTTTTTGGGGCTAAGTGATGCGCGCAATGTAGCGAAGGAGGAGGTGTCAACGACACCTTGTGCCTATCGTTGTCCTTAGTCACTCTATGTAAATACACAATGCCTCAATTCAAAATTAGGCAGATATGGGGTGATAAATGCACCAAAGTTTTACACTTGGTGTAGTATCACCATATACTACTATAAGTGATCATGCAAACCGTGCCAAACGAGGCATGGTCGCAGTGTGGTCTCATAAAATAAAAATATTAGTCAAATAATAGATTATGCGATAATACTAAACAATAACGAAAGGAAAATAAGACATGCATCATTATTATTTTGTGAAATTCAAAACATGTTTTGCAATTCAAGTACTCATAAGGAAAGACATGTCGGAATTGAAGTCTACACTACACCCATCTATCAGTCTTGTGGACGCTCTAAGGCACGGAAGCGATCAAAGCTGGGGTGATCCAAGGTGAATGACATATGAATCCCTTTATCTTTCTCGGAGGGGGGATCACCAAGCTCCTCATCAGTAGGGGATCTGGCAAAAGGAATGTCCTCCCGAAGGGAATCAGCCACCGAGATCTCGTGGTTGGGAACCTCAGGAGGAAGTCCCCAACAGTGATGCAAGAGGTACCAGCCTTATCCCTCAAGATAGGATATATTTTCTATTGAGTGGCATATATCCCGACCTGGTAGGAGATGTAGCTCTCTAAGGCAAGTTTCTCACGGCCATCTGGAGTAGACAACCAATGCTTGCTAATGTCACCGAGGTGGGCACTGATGTAAGCTTCTCGATCAGACACAAACTCTGAAGAATTCTTGTATGCATCCACGGCCTGACCTCTTGCATTCGCCAACTCCACGGCGTGCATGTCTTTGAGCGTCGCGACCTCGGCTGCATGTGAATCACGACTAAGCTTGAGCGAGGCCACCTCTTTTGCCAGTTCGGTAAGTTGTAGCAACAACTCTTGCTCGCGCTCGTCCTTCCTTCGGTTCACCTCGGAGATGAATGTCAGTAGCTACAAAAAAAGGTAAATATTAGTATCACGAGATGTATAGATAAAAAGTGACAGGGAAATAGGAACGTTAACTCTGCCAGGCCATGGTGACTCCTCCTCTCTAGAGCAACGTTGTCAAGTGCTAAAATTTGCTCCTTCTCAGTCGTCGGGATTGTCAGTGATAAGAGCGGGGGCAACTCTATGTTTCCTCGTAACCAAGTAGTCATCCCCGTAGTGGGAATGTCACTCATGCTCCGGGTGATGTAGGCTGCGGTACTAGGAGCCTTGCGTTTCGCCACGGATGAAGGCATGGTTACGATAGCATCCTTTCCTTTGGTGACGGAGGGAGCCTTTGGTTTCTTGTCAGAGCGCCCCTGGTCACTACCGCGAGGTCCATCCTTGTCGAAGCTTTGGAACATCTCCAGCCGCGATGTCATATCTGCAAAAAAGAAAAAAAAGGGTATGCATATGTGTTAGTTAATATATATGCGTGTATTATCTCCTATAGACAAGGTAACTGTGGACAACCTTGATCCGTGGACGTGGATGCGTGTGCACCCGAACATGGTGACGGCAAATAGAGTCCAACCGTGGGTAGGCGGTCCTCAGAAGTAAAGGCAGAGAGGCTATATGATCCTCCAGAAAGAATCATAGCCGGCCATGTCTCCTGGTCAACCGGAAGTTTCGGGTATGAATAATTCTTAAATCGACAATTCAAAGACGATGAAAAAGGTAACGGAGATCCAGACGACACATAGACAAATTCTTCTTTCCAATTGGCTTCGTTGCTACGAGTGACCTTCCACATGTCAAAGTGGTTGTGCTGAGAGATAGACACCCAGGACAGACTATCAGATGCCGAGCACTGCCCAGCTCGGAACATATGCTTGAAGAGGTCTAGGGACGGTTCAATCCCAAGTGTTTCACACCGAACTAAGAAAGCTACGAGATACTGATGACCGAGCGGAGTCAGGTGACAAGGTGAAATTTCAAGGTCATTTAAAAACTCAATAATCAAAGGGTGCGTGGGAAAGCGGAACCCTAATTTTATTGAAAGAATATGCACCCCGACAAAATGACCCTTAGGAGGATCGGTTACAATATCCTCTGAATCTGGACATCGGACAGTCACTGTGGACGGAAAAAATTTCTTATACTTTTGAAACTTGGAAACTGAGAGGCGCGACCTGTAGTGTAAAATGGGGCTCGAGTCTAAGGGTGGATATCGACCACGGTAGCGACGTTTTGGTGGTTTGACTGGAGCGGCTCGTGGCTTTATGGGACTAATTTCTTCAACATCAAAATTAACCTTTGTCAAGGGATGAGGAAAATTCTCCAACACTAATTCCCCGTCGTCACTAAATAATTCATCAGAATCTATGGAATTTAATACGTCCATGAATGGTGGCAGGCAGCTATTGAGAAAACAAACAGCATTCAAAAAAGATGTCACAAAAATAAATAGTGAGAGAAGCATAATCGAGGCAGCTATGGTCAAAGCAAATTTAATACTCCTACATAGTGATAAACTCCAAAGGAGCCACGGTCAAAGCAGGAAGTCAAAATACAAGCAGCTAATAAAACTAAAAGAAAAGAAAGAGAAGGCAAGGAGCGTACCTATCCGGCTATCCCTGCGTACCCTTGCAAGCGGAGGCGGCTGAATTGGAAGTCTTGGATCCGCACCCAGGGAAGAACGGCAACGGCACAGGCAGTAGACGGCAGTGGCGAGCGATCCTTGATATCACCGAAGTGCTCTGGGGTTCGGCAACGGAAGCCCGACGTCCAACGGCGGCAGTACTCCTCACCCAAAAACGCTTGCGGCCTAGACTACACAGGGGCGGCGACTAAGACGAAGCAACGGAGAAGATGAGCCGCAAACTGAAATAAGGACAACTGGCGACGGTGCTGGGTTTAGCTACAGAGGTTCAAGGTCGCTGCGGCGGAGTTGGAATGTCTCTCTTGCTCGCAGCGGCCAATGAAAGCTGATGAAGGGCGACGGCAGACGGGAACCTTAGGTGGGCTGGTTGGTTGCACGAATGGACGCCGGTGGTCGGCGGAGAGCAGTGGTTTGGTTGCCGGCGAACTGCGACCTGGGCAGTACAACTATGGTGGTGCCGACCCTCACCAACGAAGTTGCAAGGAAGAAGCTAAATTTGAGAATATAAAATACACATTTTGGTTTAAAATAAAAATAAAAATCTCAATGATTGAATGGGTAAAAACAAAAACAAAGATTGACATGGTGACCGTGTACTCCTATAGCCACGACAACTGTGTCGCTCTACTCCCTATAGCCAATATGTTATTTGCCTAAAGGAGTGGGGGGCTTGTGATGGTATAATTATCCTAACCATGGATAAATATTGACCGGGTTAACATAGATGAAAACATGTTAAAGGTTGATGTGCAAGGTAACTATGTACGGATGATGATAAGGTATAAGGGGAGCTCATACGTGGTGACCACGCACGGGTTAGAAGATAAGAGATTGTGCATGGCGACTGTGGACAAGAATTAGTAGAAGAATAGGGAGTACGGAGTAACCGTGGATGTCATGGCAAGCTTATCTAAAGAGCACGTCCACAGCAACCATGGACGCAAGTAGAAGACCAGAGTGCACTATAGCCTTGGATGCCATGACGAGCTTATATAAAGAAATGTCCACGGCGACCCTGGACATAGTAGTAGAAGCTTATCCAAATAATATATACATGGTGTCTCTCGACATCATGGCAAAAGCTACATGGCGACTCCGTACGACAAACTACATCAACGACGTCTTTTCAAGATATTCACACAATCAACAAAGGATTCCGCGGATCCGGATTATTGATCTGCATATCAATTCGAACATGGCGACCATGTCGCCGGAATCTTTTATGTCTTATTTTCTACTATAAAATCATGTAATCTTTAGAAAGTGAATCAAGCTCAATCCACTGAATACACTACATACATTTATCTCTCTAAAGATTATCCTGAGCACTTTAATTATTTTCGGCTATCTCTTATTAATTATTTTCCGGTGGATTTACTTCCATCAGGTGGATTTCTATATCAGCATGTAATAAAAATAGAATGTAATAATAAAATAAAAGGTGTAAAAACTAATTAAATAATTGTTATATATGATGACATGACAGAGTTATGTGGCGCGTTGTATGCTATTAAAAAGTTCCTCTTATATATATATATATATATATATATATATATATATATATATATATATATATATATATATATATATATTTTGATTGCTCCGTTAAGTTAAGTAGTCTGCTCCGTTAACTTAAGAAGTCGAGACCTTCCTTCCCCTAACTCTATCACCGTTAATATTTGCATAAATCTCCGTTTAATATTAAATTAATTATCACTTGATTATACATTCTAATTTATGCATACTTGCGATCGAATCGTCGTTACAAATATATCATACGGAGTATATGGGTAGATGCACGTTTGTCTATCCTCCGTGTAAGGGCACTATTTATTTTTTAAAAAAATTATTTACTTATGTTTTTACTACAGAGCATTAATTTTAAGAACATGGATAATTTAATAGTATTGAATTACGAAATCATTATCATCATTTTTATACAGGTGGTGCATTCAATTCACTATAATCCTTATTTGATTATTGTACAGTTCACAAATAAAAAATTACATGTTTGATAAAAATATTGATGGATAAGGCTAACAAGCTGAAAAACAAGTTACCAAATGGACTCTTAATTAATTTTGAGGAAGATAGGTGACTTAATTAGGAAAATCTACCTCATTTGCTGTTAGAACTTTTATTGTGGGTCAAGTTTGTCTGTTAAGTCTTGTTTAATAAAGTAGACTAGTTATACCGTTTATGGTATTAGATTAGTATTATTATGTAATAAATAAGGTAAAGGGAATAAGGCCCAAAAAAAAGGCCTTGGCCCAACTTCCAAGGTTTACCTAAATCGGTAACCTGTACAGCGCCTATAAATATGCGCCTTGTGTACAGGTACCGAGTGAAATCAATCGATCAATACACTCTAGCCTTACGCTGCTAAAATTCTTCTCGATATAATAGAAACACGATCTCAAAGTTCTCGATAGTTCATAAATCATTCTGTGAGATCGTTCCTTTCAGTTATTCGATGATATCCATCTAGCTGTGAGTGTTAGTCTGCATAAACTGGGACCAACAACTGGTATCAGAGCCTGCTCGAGTGTGATCGTCGAAGAAATGTTTTCGAAGTTTCTCTGTTTTCATACTTTTCGATATATTTCTTTGTAATCACTGTAATCCTGTTTCTGATCGATAAACTGTAAAAGTTATACCATTGGATTCGCCATTCAGAAACGAACCAAGGGTATATCTTACTTTTCGATTTCAGTAGATTCGGTATTTTTGATTTCTCGATAGTATGAGTTCGAAAAGCAGGTTTCTCGACATTTAAGCAGGTTTTTCAGGACGAAAACTATACAGGAAGACTCTCGAGATCGAAAACTTCACAGAAACGTTGTTTAAACTGTTTAAGTCTGAACTTTTGATTTGCAGGATTTCGATACTACGTTCTCGATACAAGTTCTCGAACTGAGTTCTCGAGATTGTTTTCTCGATACTTAGTTTTCGATACTAAATATCTAAAAACTCTGTTTTTCGAATTGCAGGTTCTCGACACAGCTTCTCGACACTCAGTTCTCGAAACTAAGTTCTCGAACTTAGCTTCTCGATACTGAAGTTCTCGATACAGCTTCTCGAATCCAGCTTCTCGATAAACAGGTTCTCGATATTCACTATCGAAAACCGGTTCTCGATAGAACCTCTCGAACCCTAGTTCTCGAACTTTTTCTTGAATTAGGTTTTCGACATTCTGCATCTTAAATTTTTTTCTGATCAAAACACTCGATCGATCTTTTAAGGCTCAATCAGCAAAGATGGAAGCATTGGCACTTGGAAATGAGAACAGACCCCCAATCTTGAGAAGAGGAGAATATCAGATGTGGAAAACAAGGTTCTTAAACTTTCTGGAAGGAAAGGACAACTCTTCTGCAATGCTGGAATCGCTTACTGAAGGACCAGCACAAATTTGGGTAGATGTGACAACAGATGGTGTGAACAATCCTCCAGTTGCTGTTGAAAGAAGGTTGAAAGCAAAGTCTGAGTACACTGAAGCAGACAGACTAAGAGTCAAAGCAGATCTAATGGCTAAAACGTACCTGCTCCAAGCTATTCCCAATGACATATACATATTGATTGATAGCATGGAAACAGCTAAGGAGATGTGGGATGAAATTAAAAAACTGATGATTGGAACTGATTTGGGTTTAAAGACAAAGAAAGCAAACATTCTGACTGCCTATGATGGATTTAAAGCTCTACCTGGTGAGGCGCTCCATGAAACATACAACAGATTTGTACAACTGATCAATGAGATGCGAAAGATCAAGGTTGTCAAATCAAACATGGAAATGAACATACGTTTCTTGTCGAGCCTGCCACCAGAATGGAGAAGAACTGTGAAGAACCTACGTCAACATCTGGATTTGGATGAACTTGATCTGTGTACTGTGCATGAGCACCTTCAACAGTTTGTGAATGACACTGCTGACATGGAAGGAAACTGTTGGTCCCGATTAAATAGTAATCAGTCTATAGGGGGGGTGAATAGACTGATTGGTTTTTCAAACTTTTTCTCAAGGTCCAAACTGACTTATCAGAGAAGGTCTGATTCTGGTGACAGAGAAAGACTGGTTCTGATATCAGAACTGGCCTTGGCAGCGGATTCTGATCTGTCCGGGTAGCCTCAGAAACACTAAGGCAAATGCCTTTCTGATAACTCTGAAAACAAGATCTGCTGAACACAGATTCCAAGTCTTAGAGTTAGTCAGTTAATATCCTAAGTGTAGAAATATAAATTGCAGTAAAGTAAATGACACCGGATATTTTTATAGTGGTTCAAGGAACAACGCGTTCCTCTAGTCCACTGTTCCACTAGCTTTGAAGTAGATCGGTTACAAAGCTAATCCCTAGCACTTAAGAAGTTCTCCACGCCTTCTTCAAGCCTAGTTGTCACCCGGGATGCAGTCTTGCTTCCTGATGACTGATCCTTTCACTCAGCTTCCCGGAAGTATCACCACTTCCAACTCTGATTCATGTATCTCTGGGAAGATCATCCATCATTCCCAATTCTTCCCTTAGCTTGTTGAACCTTGCCTCTGAGAGAGGTTTGGTTAATATATCTGCAAGCTGATCTTCAGTTGGAACATGCGCAATTGAAATGTGCTTCTTCTCCACATGATCTCTGATGAAGTGATGTCTGATCTCAATGTGTTTTGTCCTGGAGTGCAACACTGGGTTCTGAGTGATGGCAATGGCACTGGTATTGTCACACAACAGCTTGATCTCCTTAGCTGGAACTCCATAATCCTTGAGTTGTTGCTTCATCCAGAGTAATTGAGCACAGCAACTTCCAGCAGCAATATACTCAGCTTCAGCAGTGCTAGTTGAGATTGAGTTCTGCTTCTTGCTAAACCAGGAGACAAGTCTCCCACCTAGCATTTGGCAATGACCAGAAGTGCTCTTCCTGTCCAATCTACAACCTGCAAAATCTGAGTCAGAGTAACCAATTAGTTCAAAGTTACCTCCCTTGGGATACCATAGGCCTGCATTTGGATTTCCTTTGATATATCTGATAATCTTCTTAGCAGCAACTAGATGGCTCTCCTTGGGCTTTGATTGGTATCTGGCACAGATTCCTACTGCAAAAGCTATGTCTGGTCTACTTGCAGTCAGATAGAGGAGAGATCCAATGATTCCTCTATATGTAGTGGCATCAACATCCTTTCCTTCATCATCTGGTCCAATTCCTTGAGATGCATTCATAGGAATTTTGACTGAGGCTTTTCCATCAATTCCAAACTTCTTGATTAAGTCTCTGGTGTACTTTCCTTGGTTGATAAAGATGCCTTCTGGGACTTGTTTGACTTGTAACCCAAGAAAGTAACTTAATTCTCCCATCATGCTCATTTCAAACTTGCTCTGCATAACTTGAGAAAATTTCTTGCATAATTCTGGATTAGTGCTTCCAAATATAATATCATCAACATAGATTTGCACTAACAGAATATGATTAGCAACAGAGATCTGAAATAGAGTTTTGT